GAGGCGAATATGTAGGCCCGTGTGCTCAGATTTAGGTGCACGTTAAAGAACCCCAAGTGGTTGAAATTTCCAGAGCCCTCCACCGTCTCTCTTAATCATTAAGCGGTTTTGGGACGTTATACGCCACATTTCAACATTATTTATGGGTCGGGGCTAATGAGTTGTGCCTCAGGCATCTCCCACTTAAATTCAATTTTTGTACCTCTCTCTCTTTACGCTTCCAGAGAGGGAGAGAGAGTCATGAGCGAAATGCGGGGTTTAATCATGATTTTTAAGCAATGGCAGTGTACGGAGTCATTCACGATCATTATAGAATATGGTTGGTTAGTAAAGTAGGGCGCATCTGAACCTATAGGTACATGTGCGCTATTGTATTTCCCCCTTATCTATCAGGAGCCTATACCCAGCAGAATAACTGCGTATTGTGGTGGTGAAGTGACCTCGCGCAATCTTAACGCAACTTGGGTACCTGCCCGTCCTCCCAATCATTCCCACATTTAAAGCGTCCTGCAATGTCAGTAGCCGTAATACACTGACAGCGTGGCAGCTTCGATCGAACCGCCTTGTTGTAAAACAGCGCGAGTCAATCTTCGTCCTCGTTCTTACCGCATTCTGCCGACTGTCTACATACAGCGCGCGTGCGAGGACGCGGTATAAACTGCGCTTTCTTTTAGCCACGTTAACCGAATGCGTAGAACCCGGAGACAGTGGTTTCGGTCGGGACTTTCACTGTAGGAAACTCTGGGGACAGGAGGCTGTCGTCGTGCGTTTGCAAGATGGATGCGTTGACGATGACGACGTGCGCGTCCAGACGCGTCCTCTTCGTGTGTGTACGTGCCGCTTCATTTGACGCTTTCGTCGCTCTTTAAGCAACTCTCGTTTGCGACCGCTCTGCTGCTGCGTTCTCTCTCCCGGTTTCCTAGCTCGCTGCTCTCTCGGCTCGGGCTTTGTGTGGCGCCGCGTGCATGACCCGTGCTCGCTTACGACGTGCTCTCGTGCGTGTGCGAGGCATCTTCACCCCTTTTCTTTCCGGCACAGCGACCGCCAGGCTCTCTCTCTCTCTTTCCTCCTCTTCTTGTCATTCCTACATCACTGCGCCCGGAAGCGGGCGGAAGAAAGTGCGTCGCGGCACGCCGTTCTCGAGCTTTTCGCCTTCGCGACGGAAACGCGAAGGAAAATATAAATGCACGAACGGAACAAGACGAGAGAAACAAAGAGACACCGTGTGGGCGGGTGTCGCCCATCGTGGCAGCAGCTACACGGTGAGCAGCACTCTTCGCCCTCTTCGAAAGCGAGAGAGAGCGGAGGAGAGTGCAGTCGGAGAAAAGGGAACAAGAGCGCATGCTCGGTGGGCGTGTAATTTATGACGGTTACCGGCGTTTCGCTCTCGCTCGGGGTCTCGCCTTGTTCTGTGTGTGTGTGTGTGACTTGCAGCCGGGGTCGACTTCGCTTTTCTTGCTTTTCAAGACTTCGGCCGATGCGACGACGGACCTCTGCCGCTCCCTCTCTTTCTTGCTTCCCTGTTGCGCCTTGTTTTTTCGCGCCCTTCCTCCTCTTCCCTAGCTCGACTGCTCTCAACTGGTTCGCGTCGCTGGTGAGAAAGCGGGCTTCTCTTTCTCCGGAGAAGTCGAGAGTCGAGGCTGATCTCTCTCTCTCTCCTCTTGGGCCTCCAGTTTCCCTATCCGCCGCGCTGCGGACGCTTGCTCCCGCGCTTCCTTGAGCATCCGTGCGCGTATCCTGAAGTCAGTCGTCGTCACTGGCACGCGCGCTCTGCGAGTTGCGGACTTTGCAACGGTGGCATCTCTTTTTTTTTAATAAAAAAAAGGCTACCCCTTTCTTCACGTTTACCGCGTCTGCCCCTCATTTTCACGTTTATTGCGTTTTCCTGACGACGGAGACTCCCCGACTTTACTGGCGCCGGAATGTCGAAGCAAATAGAAAAAAGAAAAAGCGTCTCAGAATGAGCAACTCGCATCCGCTGACGCGATTTTTTTCTTTTCGAAGAGGTGCATGCTCTTAGTCTGCACCTTTGGTCAAAAGCTCACGGCGTATCTACGTTTGCGTGCCTAGTGATCGATTTATTCGGCAGGCTTAGTAAAAGCCGAAGTCATCGCATCTGCCAGCCGATTGTTATACACAATTTTCGTAATATGATTTCGTCGTTCACGGGACTCTCAAGAACTTGCAACTAGGCCGGATTGCTTCATCCGTCGTTATTCTTTTTATCGTAAAACGGCGCTTTCTGTGCCCACCGTGTGTGTGTGTGTGTGTGTGTGTGTGTGTGTGTGTGTGTGTGTGTGTGTGCGTTTTAATTTTATTTAAGATTTAGTTTCTCATAAATGCGTACCTTACGTGCGTGCTGCGTGCGGTGCTCTTGGGGGAAACTTAAAATATTTTCTTTCTTTTTTTTTTGCAAACGTGTCTTTCGGTTGGCACCAGCCGTTCGTTCATCCCATTTTTTTTTTTTTTGTACGGAGGGTTGGGAAGCTTCCTTGCGTTGTCCCAGCAATTTCGTCATTAAAAAAAAAAACCTCTCTCAGCACGAGCCGCTTCCTGCTTTTCTTCTTCTTCTTCTGGTCGCGTTAATATCTCTGCGTGATGGGCGAACCGAGAAGAGAGGGGGGCGTTTATTTCGGGCCGCCTCTCGACAGAGTCGATATAGTCGGAAAGGCGAGCGAGCCAGTTCTATCTCCACCTTCTTCTCTCGTTTTCGCGTTTCTCTTCTTTTTCCTCTCCATCTTCTCCGAGGCGCTGCTGCTGCGAAGAGGTTCACGGATCGGAGGAGAGCGGCGCACCGGAGTACTTAACCCCGTCAGAGGGCCGGCCATGTGTGTGTGTAGAGAAACATAAGGGAAAGTGAGAGAGAAAGCGCGCAATGAAGCTCTCTGGAGTGTTTGTTTTATCCTTTCACCTTTTTCGCGGGCGACGCGCGTGCCATCTCGGAAATCGGCCCGAGTCGAAGCGATTTTTCGGGCCGCAACGGGTTTCGCATCTCGGCGCCGCGCCTCGGGTGTTTATTTGGGATCAATCGACTTGTTACTTTTCTGGCACGGGTTCCCGCCACACACTCGCCGGCTTCTTTTTTTTTTTTTACTTGCGCCTGTCTCCGCGCGTAATTTCGTGTCCCCTGCGTGTTTGAAGCGAGTCTTTGAGCGTTCGCGTTTATCGAGCTTTAAGCGCCTCCCTGGCTTTTGTGCGTGTGCAAAATGTCGGAGAAGCATCGAAGTCGCGCAATTGCTGTTGCGCTGTTTCTTTTTGCATCTTCGTGTGAACGAACGGAATTGTGCGTCGACAATAAGGTATTGAACCCTACCCACACGTGCGCGCTTACAAAGCGTCAGCGCGCGTCGTACCCTCTCCCTACTGCGGGAGAGGTCGCAGCTATAGTTTGCGTCCTCTCTCTCCGCAGGGAGAGGGCGCACATAATGAGAGGGCGCGCTGGCGCGTAACGCGTACGTGTGGTCAGGCCTCTAGCCACGAAGTGGGTAGGGAGTCGAATTTGATGCGTATGGCTAATTGGCGGGGTTATTCTACAAGGGGTTATTTTGGTAATCTAGGCCCGCATTCACAAACATACGTAACGTTTGTTTCACTTGTTGATTTTTCTCTTAATGTACTTTTCAAACAGATGTGAAGGTAACCTTTTACACGCCAACCTCGGTGATTTTTTGCCCGGCCTATTGTTTTTGTACACTTAACAAAGGGCACAAAAACGATAAGAAACATTAGAGACAAGGATAAGGTTGTTTTATTCATACGGTCGTCATTATTGAAGAGAGAAGGATAAGCAAACTGCTGAAACCGTAGCTGCGTAATCGAATGATGGCTGAATTTGTTCGACAACCTTAATGAACGTTACCCCCTATGTGTATTCATGTATCGTTGTCGTATCGCAAGCCTTGTGGTAGGCAGCGTAAAGGAGGAACTGCTTTCGACTTCAACATGTATAAAGTATTTTCACGTTTTACAAAACGTACAATTTCTTTGTAGTGCAAACGTTTAGTCTATAATTAGTGGATCATTCCCGCTTGCAGAAGGAGGCCATAAGGCATATACGAAAGAAGAGACAAGGACAGGTGTTGGTTTTTGAACTGGATTTCTAATCGCCGACAAAACACCCGCCTTCTTATGTACCAAATATTCATCACGTGCGTTGTCTTTTTTGTCTAGTTGTAGCCACGCACGCTCCGCATAGTTTTTTTTTTTAGAGATTCGATATATAGATATATAGAGATTCGATATTTTTAGAGATTCGAATATAGATTCGAAAAATAAAATTGTTTTAACCGAGTCGCATTTCAAGTCACGTTATCGCGGGCACCAGAAGAGATAGAGGGTGCAGAATGCAAACAAGTAAGGCATTTGCCCGCTATTTTTCTACCCCCCCCCCCCCATTCCCACCTTGTCTGTCTGCTGTGCTTCTTTACTGCTTGCAGAAATTATCCTCTTTCATAACCTCAAACTTCTGTTCTCAACCTCTCTCTCTCTCCTTCTCGCTAGGCGATATCACAGGTAGAGAAATAACAGCAAGGACAAACGGAGTAACGAGTTGACGATTATAGCAATATATATAATATCACATATAGTATTATATATAATAATAATATAATATTGCAGTAACTATATATATATATTGTATATATTATATTATATTAATTATATATATATATATATATTTATATATATATATATATATATATATGTTGTATTTGCAAAATTTGCTCATTTTCGTTCTTTTGTTTTACAAAGGGAACGGTGTCATGACCCTATCGTTGGTTTATAAGGCATGTTTTAGCAACTTGTTGATTGTTCGTGATAATTATCTCCACTTCAATTTTTTGTGATCATTATCTTCACAATCTAATAATTAATCGTTGAACCAGTATTGATTGCGGGCACTCGTCGCTTGCAGTGCATACACACAACCGCACGTTTCGTGAATTTGCGTCTCGTGTCTTTTTTTTTTCTTTTCACCCTCATTCTTCTCTGCAACCACGCAGGTGACGATGGTTGACCGCGACGCGGCGGAACGCGCGGTCAAAGAAGCCAACCCGATCATCGACGGCCGTAAGGCCAACGTCAACCTCGCCTACCTCGGCGCCAAGCCCAGGGCGAACGCGAACAATGGTAACATGTTGACAACTCCTGCGTTGGGCTGCACATATGAAGCCCCCATCCTGCATTTTCAATGGCAAAGTTTAAACTGAATTAACAATGACAGTTTGGGTTTTAGGCAAGTATGCACATCAAATGACCATATATGGTTAGCAGGCAAGCTTGTGCCCGACACCATCGCCAACTTTTTCAGTTTTGCGTGTGTGTATATGTAGGTGCACCCGCAGACAACGCACAAACACGCAACGGCTGGTTGTGCCTCCACTCCTCTCTGCCCCCGTTTTACCGAAATAAGTTTATGGCTGCAGACGTGTTTTGTCTCACTTGGCACTTGAAATACGCGAGTGCACATCTCCCGTAGCGGGTGCTTGCCGAAGCAATGAGTGAGTCGGCTCTGCCAGTGAAGCTCGCCCATCAAATACATGGAAAACGCTTGCAATAATAAACCGGTGTTAAAAAAAAACAAAAAAAACATAGGTGAATTTGGCAGTAAGCCGTGGACGGCTTGAAACGGCGAAAGTGGATGATTGTGAATACTAAGCTGCTTGCTTGTACTACTTTCTTTTCCAGGCCTTTGTAATGCAGGTTGTTTGTAGGTTGTTTCTAGGTCGTTGCTGTGGCTTTTAGGTGGGCGGTTTCAGCTACAAATGATGCTAGGCTGTTTCAACGTTGATTCTCGGCACACAAAGGTCCGAGTTAAACCATAATCGCAGAGACGACAGTGTTGTCCGAACTCCAGAGAACTGTTGCTTGCTCTGATGCCAAGAGTTCGCACCTCTCAAAATTTTACGGGTACATCTTCATCAGCCTTCCATCACTTCGGGGTTTTCCCGCAGTGGGCGTTGCCTTCCCCATGCCCTAGTATTCTCTCATTGTTCGTGATCTTCGGCTTGCCACCGTTTGCCGGGCTAAATGCAGCCCTCTTCATTTTTAGTACTCCAGTGGCTAGCTGTGGGATTCATCCAGTTTCTGTGGCCACGTACCCATTTATGAGGACCTATTTTCTATATCGGCTCACCTTGAGCGACTCGCTGAACAGCTGCGCTTTTAAAAATATGTACATTTCGGAACTAGCACTTGCCACACTTCCTTCCGACTGAATGTTCTAGAGGTTAGCCAAAATCTACGACGAAGTACCGCCGTGAGGGGCGCTTTAAGTGGCTTGTTTGTCCTTGAGACACACAATACACTCCCTTAACAAAGTCCTGATAGCCAGTGGACAAACTGCGACTGAAGTACCGCGATGCCTAAGTGCTCTCTCGCTTTCGTTTGTGTTTATCCACACTGTGTATCTGCTTCGCTAAATCGGAGCAAACACTTTCTGTGCGACTCGTTCGAGATTTCCTTGTCAAAGTATCGACGTGCCCTGCGGACAGTGCGCGTCTGTCCGCTCCAGTATTATTTGTACATCGTTTATATGTGCTGCATCGATATAGTATGTACGTACCTTCTCTCTGGCATGTCGTATTGCACCCGATCGTAAAGTGGCTGCCCGCTTCGACAATCTTCTTCTTATCTGTAAGTTTAGATACGGCAACGCCCATCGTCCGCCACAGTGCATTGATGGTCAGTATGGCTGGTGACTCGAAGGTCGCGGGTTCGATCCCACGGCGCATTTCCCCTCTGTTCGGGGGGGAAAACATTTGCGTGTTTGTGGCACCAGATGTCGCTTGGTCTGCGCGTGTAGGTCACTTTTTGGCCACCAGAAATCGTGGCGCGTGCCTTCTCGATGTTCGGTTGGCACGCGCAGACCACCTATCCGGGAAACGTCCATTGGTTTAGTTTGTGTGACATTGTGTTCACAGAAGTTTCAGAGGTGCAGAAGCAAAGTAATTCTTGGTAGTCTTTTTTTCTTTCATCGAAGTCGAATGAATGTCTATATTCTATGTAAACACAAAATTTCTAGAAAAACGTGACTGAATTGAAGTTTTGTCATAGAAAAAAGGTATACTGTGGCAAAAAGTACCTAATTCAAGCACTTATGCATAATCCTACAGGGTTTTCTATAGATAATGATACATTCCTTGTAACTGCGTAATAGAGGGCAGGCATTAAGGTACTCTAATCAGTGTTCTGTAGAGGTTGATGGCAAATCGCACGATATATTTGGCTGATTACTAGCGTGCCTGGTAGCTCGAATGCTGCAGCTAGCAATAATAGGTCGGGTTTAGGTCTTATGAATTCCAATAGGCACCCGGCAATGCAGTTTACGAGATCCTATGGTAGCAGCCAGAACACACAGCCTAGCGAGTAGACGCAGCAAAACCGGACTTGCCAGGGCACATTTCTTTTTTAGTTGTGGGGGTCATGAGCTATATGGAAGCACCCAGGAAGCCTTCTTTGAAAACGTGCCAAAAAGGGCATGCCACTCCATGCACAACTTCAGCATGTGAATGTGTTCAGCGAGAGTTTCATTTTATTGTTACCCCTGGCAGTAGTTGCGAACAATGCTGAGGCGGCCCGAAAGAGCTTCGTCGCAGCCTCTGGTCAGTGTCTATGATGAAATAAACTTCCAAACGTAACCTCTGCTAACCTCCTTGCGTCGTCGGGACTGCGTGAAGCGGCAACCATAGTACCAGTCTCCAGATTCATATGGCTAGGAATAGCAACATTCGCATCTGTGACACTCACAGGACTGAGGGACAGTCGCCAGCCGCTTGTGCTTTTTCAGTGACCACCTGGAGTTTTCCGCCAAGTTCAAGAGTAGATATCCTTGGCCTAAACGAAGGTGATGCAGCATTTTTTTTCCCACTCCTATGCTGCAAGAAGCACTGCGTTTTTTTACAGCGCAGCATTACCTAAAGCGTTAGAACTGTGGTTACAAAAGAACTGCATCTTCCGCATATCTACGAGTGGCAAAGCTTCCGACAAAAAAAAAAAAGTCGAAGAGGAGTCTTGCAAATTGATTTTTAAAAAATGCCTACGGTGACGCCACGGTATTTATGTACTTGGCTCCAGCATCCTAATCCCTGCAGGTTCATTGTTTCAAGAACTTCTGACATTTCACTTCACACAAGCGTGCCAAGCGACAAGCTGCGCTGGGAGCGCCTGTGAAAAACGGGAGGTTTTTCACCGTCAGTCACAACCTTTTTCTGTCTAGGGTGTGAGTGATGTGTGCAGTTCAGCGTCTTGTCCTGACACCGAGGGGGCTGGAGAGGGGAGATTCCTGCAAGTGGAGAGAACAAGGGATTGTCGTCGAGGAGAACATTTCCGCTTTTCCGTGAAGTGTTAGGGGGTGGGAACTGAAGTATCTAAAGAGAGGTCAGTGTCGTTGGGAAAGGGAGAGTGAAAGAGGAAAGAAAGTGGCACCACCTCGATATCGGAATGAGCCTTTTCAGGGTAGGTAGCCTGGACATGCACGCCGCCCTCGAGGAGGCACACACCATGATTTTTTGTGGCCAAAACACGGCGGATAGGTGGATGGATGGATGCTATAAGCGTCCCTTTTATAACAGGATGGTGGCATGTGTGCCACCAGGCTTGCAAGAAAAAAAAAGAAACTTTTTTTATGTTGGCCTAATGCCTTATCTACTTCGAATAAATCGATCTTAATATGACAAAGAAAAATGTAAATTTGTTTCATCTCTCGGCCTCTTCAGGGAGGATGACCTGATTTCCCCACTATTTCTGTCCTTTATCCCTACCCTTCTGCCACCAGTACTCTAACTGTCTCTTCTATCGCGGACGTGTTTAGCTTTCCATGTTTGTCCCTAAAACCCAAAGCCTCATGTAGGCTTGTACCTACGCATATAGCTGGGTGGACATTGCCACATTCACTTAGAACATGTTCCATTGTTTTCTTAGCTCCCCCACAGCATGTACATTGTTCTCTCTCTTTATGATCACGCGTTATAAGGCAACTCGACCTCGCTTCGAATGGATGGATGGATGGATATGGCTGTACCCCTTAGATCGGGCAGTGGCTAGCGCCACGAAGCCGTAATACTTAATGAACTCAAAACTATATTTATTTATTTTTTCCTTAAAAAGTGAGTTTGAGGATTCGTACTTTGCAGTGAAGAGTTTAATTTTCACTCGTGCCTTGACTTCAGCCACCAATCAGATAACCTCCTTCTAGTTAAGTCTACTTGCTTAAAGTCTATTTTGCCCTCCCGGTCCCTAAACCCCAGTGCTTTGAAAAACTCTGCGCCATCATCCTGAACTATAGGGTGAAGCCCTTTACAGACCATTATCAAGTGTTCGGCAGTTTCTTCTTCCTCTCCACACACACTGCATACTGTGTCTACCCCTTCGTATTTGGCCCGATATGTCTTGGTTCGCAGTACTCTCATCTTTGCCTCAAACAGTAGAGAACTACCCCGAGTATTATCATAGATCCTTTCTTTGGCAATTTCCTGCTTAAAAGTTCGATAGATCTCTAGTGCGGACTTCTTAATCATGCCCATTTTCCACATGTCAGTCTCCGTTTCCTTCACTTTCTTCTTAACCGATAGTTCTTTTTGGTTTGGCCACCTGCTGTTTTCTAAGTATTTACCAGTCATCTTCCTGGTTCGCTTCCTCCATTTTGTATCGACATTCTTCATGTACAAGTAGCTGAAAACATTCCTAGCCCAACGCTCCTCCTTCATTTCTCTCAATCGCTTCTCAAATTTTATCTTGCTGTTAGCTTCCCTGCCCTCAAATGATGTCCATCCCATATCACCTTGTACTCCCTAATTTGGTGTATTCCCGTGAGCTCCTAAAGCAAGCCTACCTATTCCACGTTGCTTAATTTCTAATCTTGCTTGAACTTCTGATCTCGTGCACAAGACAGCATTGCCGAACGTCAGCCCAGGAACCATGACCCCTTTCTATATTCCTCTCACAACATCATACCTATTGTAATTCCACAGTGCCCTATTTTTCATCACCGCTGCATTCGTCTCGTATATTTTGTGTTCCTTCAGGTACTCGGTCCCATTGCTTATCCATACGCCCAGATATTTGTATTTATCTGTTATCTCTAGCGTGACCTCCTGTATCCTAAGCTCACTACCTTCGTTGTCATTGAA